ATATATGTATGTATGTATGTATGTATGTATGTATGTATATATGCTCTGAAGCGTCTGAATCAAATTCCCCCACCACCGCAAACAGCTTTCTACATTGAGTCTCCTTTTGCTCAGCCAAACAGTCTCCTTGCAGACAAAAGAGGGGTGAAGTGATGTCTGAATGAGCATTGCTGGCCAGCCAAAATCCAGCACTGAGGCTCCATCAACTGCAGAAAATTGTCTTTCTGTCTTTCTAACCAGTTTTCTTGCCTACTGAAGAGAAACCGTGGTCTTTCTGGAGTTGTCAGAAAACACAACAGATTTTTATCTATCATCTCTTTTCATAAGAAAAGAGGGTTTAAAAATCTGCTGATGTTATTAGCAAAGCCAGCCTGATTATATAGTGAGTTTTTTTGTTTTCTGCTTTGTTTTTGCTAAAAACTGTTGCCTCCTAGTTTCACATGCTGCCAACTAGTTTTTGCATCCGAAGATCATGTTCAGTTTCTCCATAGCCCTCGTGCTGAGATGGGCTTTGCAATAGTAAGGTCCTCAGAGTGTGTGTGGTACCAGATCTTCCTCGCATACGTTCATCTCCATTCAGTCCTGTCGTCCTCTCTGCCATGAAGTCGGTTTCCAGACCTCCAGCAGATGAGATGTGGAGGCCATCCACATCTCCAGCCATTGGTATTGAATGACTTCTCTCTTCCTCCGGGCTGCGTGTGAGTCTCCTCCAGCACAGTCTTGGATCATAACCTATTTAGAGTGCTCTCCATAAATGCCTTACAAGAAGTCTCAAGCGCATTGCTTAAAACACCAGAGACCGCTTCTATTTTGTCAGTGTATCTCTGATCACATCTTAATTTTCCATTTTCATGTGTGGCTAATTAACACTTAAACTTGCTCTTGAGGGAGCTTCTCTGTTTAGTGTTTTAGACGGACCCACCACGTGGTCGGCACTAGTATGTGGTGCTGGAGCTAGTGCTCCTCAGACCGGAGTGGAAATGGTTTCAATGAATGTTTTGAAGCCGGGCCAGAGAGTGAATCAAACATGAATGACCATGAGTCACTTTGGAAAATAGCCCTGTTGAGGGCTCAGGGGGTGACGCTGTACATAGCTCCGCTTGCACGCCCAGCGGTGCAAAATCGCCGGCACGTTGGCTTCGAGGGTCCTCCCGGCATGTCCTCAGCGGTGGGGCTGTAGCTGCCACCTCCTTTGGTTGTGGGGAATGGCGTTATTTAGTGTGATGGGTGCTGAGTGTAAATGAACCTGGGTATCTGTCATGTAAATGCTGTGTTGCAGGAGTTGAATGTAAGATAAAGGAGCCAGTCTCTCTGCTGGAGAGCCCTGCTGGGCGATTGTCCGGGAAGAGCCGAGCTGCAGTGCCATGGAGGAGGAGGGCATGCTCCCGGCGGGTTTGGTGTAGGGATAGCGGCAGGCATCCCATCTTGGCTGCTTTTTCCCGAGAAATCCCGGCATCGTCTTCTTTAGCATGTGTTTGCAGCGGGGCTTGGATAGCGCAGCCTTGCATTACGCCTTTTGGCTTGGTCGCTTTTTACTGCCTTTCCTGAGCTCGGGTGCTGCGTGTCCCCTCGGGGTGCCTGTCCTTAGAGCCCGGGGAGGGGTCCCACAGTACACAAGGTGTATTGCAGTGCAGATAATGTTTTGCAGAGGCAAGGACTGGCTGTGTCCCCTGGAGTGGCAGGTACACCCCAGGAGGGGAGCCAAACCCCTTCATCTGCGCCCCAGATCCCTGGACCACGTAAGCGGGGAGCTCTGACCGGACGGTGGTGGCTGACCCCATTGCATCTCCTCTGCACAGCTCTGTTCCCACCTGCCTCGGGGTAAACGTGTGAGGTTTTTTGCTTTAGTGACTGAGGGCTAATTTTCTTCTCCTTTCCTCTTTCTCAGGTGAACCCCACGCCGCAGGGTACGCGAGCGCTGCTGAAAATGATGTACTGCCCATACTGCCGAGGTCTGGTATCGGTGAAGCCCTGTTACAACTACTGCTTTAATGTCATGAGAGGCTGCTTGGCCAACCAAGGGGACTTGGACGCCGAGTGGAATACCTTTATGGGTAAGGCAATATGGGTTAAAACTGCATGTGAATATATATTGATACTGTGTCCCTCACCTAAATGCCTTTTGTGAGTGACTGTGCTGAGTCTGTGATGGGTACCTTTTCCTTCCACACTTCTGTATACAGCACACCTTTTGCAGTTCACGTTAATTTCTGAATAAATGAGACTTTTGTTGTACCAGTGACCTCTGTCGCAGCAAGCTTTAGGAGGATGGAGCTGCCATGTGCTTGGAGGCTTGGAGCGTCTCTTCTTGCTGGAGCAGGCGTGTGTGCAAGCTGTTTTTTCCATACTACTTCTTACACATTGTTGTCACCATATAGCTGTCCTTCCCAAAGCCAGTTTTCTTGCTCAGCAGGCTGGGAGTCTCCCTGCCAGCCGGGGTGAGCTTTGGGAAAAGCTGTAGGCCTGTATTTTACGTTAAAAAAATTGAATGGGACATGTGTTTTTAAACAGCTCATTTGGCGCTCGGCCACCATCCTTTTGAAATGTCGATAGGCCTTACGTGACACTGTGCGAGTGCTTTTGCCATCCTCTTCCTCCTGTTTGTTATTTCTCTTCCGTGCTTATAAAGGGTATTATTCGATATATGAAATTTAGACCAAAATGTTAAATTCTACCTTGGGTCAAGGCTCAGCAGAATTGGCGATGCATCACATTTTGGGAGCACAGGCAATAGATAATGTTAAATGTTTTCATTTGTGCTCCTTTTTCGGGAGGCTTGATTTATCTGTGAACGAGCATCCTTTGGGAGCAGTCGCTTCACTCCAGTTAATGTGTGATGAAGTGCACATGTAAAGTATCTGCCGCTACTGACAAGGCTGCAGTACTCTTCCCATCCCACTCGTGGAAAAAAAAGACTATTGGAAAGAAAAGATTTCCCTTTCATTAAGCTGTGAGATAAAAAAAGGGAAATTGCTGATAATTGGCATTTCAGGCTAGATTTAAATCTTAGAACTTGTTTCCTGTGTTTTGCACACTGGCTTTTCACTTCGCTGCCCGTGCCAGCTGGATGCGTGCAGGGTATTATTTTCAGAAGGCCTTTTTTTGCCTGTGTATTCTATATAGGGAGTTAAATGTGACACTAAATTGGGTTTCCAAGTCATTCTCTGGGAGGCTGACAACCCCCCCTGCCATTCCTCCCAGCCGTCTTTCTCATAAGAATATTAAGTATTTCAGCTACAATTGTTGCTGAAATAGCTCAAAGCCAGGAGACTTGCAAACATCTAGTCCAAGTAGAAAAGAGGAATCCCATGAAAGGGAAGGGCATAATGCCAGAAAACAGACAAAAGCACAAGCAGCTAATTGCTGTAGGTGGTATGCAGCTAAAAACGAACCTCGGGGGAAGCCAGCGAGCCGTGTCACACGAGACTGATCAGGGACTGCATACAATAATTAAGATTATTAAACAAGACAAAATAAATAAATGCGATTCCAGGTTGGAAGCAAAGCTTTCTTCTTGCAGTGCTTCCTCCCCAAGGGGCTCTTGCCCACTCATTACTCAAGTATGATATTAAGCTTCGTTACACTTATTGGCAGTATTTGCTTGCTTCTTGCACTCGGGGTTGATTCTTGCAGTGGAGTACAGATACTGAAAACTTAAGCTGTGCTTTCTTTAGACAGTTTAATAACTGAACAGGTGCTGGTTACGTTCCAGATTTTGGTTTCTATCTCAATTTGCCACTTGAGGCAAATTAAATTAAATAGATCTGGTGTTTGGGGCAGGGCATATGTCACAAATATCCTCTGTGTGTGTGTGTGTGTTGAAAAGTTTAAATAAATAAATAAAAACCAAAACCTCCCCAAAATCCCCCCCAAACTACCCCACAACAAAAAAAAAATCCACCTGCATGGGCTCGATGCTATTTTGCATTGCGGGTTTAAGTACTAAGTTATAGCAATGATTTATTACATGCCAAAACCAGATTTTGGACCTAGCGAAATAACTTAAAGATAGTTAAATGGCAGAACTTGCCACAAATGCTGCAAGTATATATGAATTTGGGTGCATGTGCGTGTATTAGTGGGTCTATATGTAAGTCACTTACGTAAAGCTGTTTCAAACTGGGATGTAAAGTTTGTAGGTTTTTTGAGACAAGAAGACTTTATACTTCCTTACTTCTGCAAAGTACCATTTAAAGTTGCGGCCTATGAAACAATGACCAAATTGTACTCTTTTCTCCCATTTAACTATCTTTAAATTATTTCACCCTCTATTCCTGACACAATTGTACACCAATTAGACAGGGGTATACTTTGTTTCAAACAAGCTATTGGGGGGGTTGGAGCTTTCGTGAATGAACAGTGTTAATCTGCAGTGCCTTTTCTTTTTTTTTTTTTTCCTCCCCCT